TTGAAAACCTAAATATGTTAACTGCGGAGAATGCGTCTTTTGCGTGCAATAATCAATAATTCGGGAAGAAATTGGTAAGGCCATTCTGTAGAAACAGAGAAAAGCATGTCGCTAGCTTCTTCGCGAGAAGAGCAACAGCCTGTACATTTCGAGAACTGGTGAAAGTATTATAAAAAAGAAGAGAAAAAAGTGGTATGACAATAAATTCGCTCTAGGAAAGTCTATGGATGAATTAAGCTCATGCAATAGGAAGTTAACTCAGTATTATTGTTAGGAAGATGGAAAGCTAAAAGATTATATCGATACTTCATACAACACTCTTCCAACGAAGGAGTATGAAGATCAATCGGCTAGGTTATATAAGATGGATGACGATGACGAGTGTGTACCATTTTCTAAGGAGATCAAAGAGGTGTCAATCCCGGACAATTTTATTCATCTTGTGATAGAGAATGGGGCAAGCTCTAGCCACACGATTGAATGACATATGGCGGAAGAAAGAGTCTCTTAAAAGCTATTTTCCACAATTCAGTGATGAATTGATAGCTTGCAAGACCATATCGATCAAAAAGGCTAGAAAAGCTTTATGAAATGGAATCCCTTCTAGTGAGACGTCCGCAATTGGAATCCAACCTCGTATCATCATTTGGTAAACCTGATCCAGAATGAAATCCAAACAGAGAACACAATCACAATGGAAAAAAGGTAGAGCAGGTTCGCAAAAAAAATTCTCGAAGGTAAAGCCTATGCACATTTATTTAAATTGCCAAAAAATATATATATATATTTGCATTTTGTAGAACCCAGAGATAGGGAACATACAATATTTTTAGTCCATGCATCGACCACGGGTAAAGAACACCTTCCCCCTAAGAATCGAGAAGCGAAGTTCTACAAGATTTATCACTCTAGGGATCATAATACAGAAGAGTATTATGAGGTATTAAAGATGATTAAGTTGCAAATCATCAGGGAGGTTCGTAATGAATAATTGAAGGGTGCCACCTTATCTAATCAGGGGTCGAGGTCACTGAAGCGGACCAAGGCAAGTCAAGTCAAAGTAAGCATCAACAAACGCTTTCAACTCGTCGGGAACGATTTAAATAAATAATGTTCTTTAATGAATTTTTTTTGTACATGTAAATTTTATTACATTTGGCTTTACTCAGTACTTTCAGCCCCCGCCCCCTCCTCCCCCCAAACAAAAAATCTTGAATTCGTCCCTGCCACCATCTATATGGAGGAGGCTTCCCACTTCACCACCATCTACATGGAGGACGCCAGGAAGACTTCTTTCTACACCATGGTTACTTCTTTTGATTATTTCCTGATCATCTGGCAGCTATAGAGAAGGAGACATTACATTTTTTGAGATATCGAAATAACTTGAAGATGCCATTTTCATTTTGGGGATCTTGGAGTTGATTCAAAAAAAATTTTGGAAGAGTTTAAATGAATTGAAAGCTTTCAATTCTTGCTTAATCTTCTTCCATTCGGTCTATTGTGAAAATTCATTGACCTACTCACCATCTACGGATCCATGGATGTGGCGTTGGTTTCGCCTTCGACAATTGAAGACGGCTCTTTGATTTTAATTTTTGGGGGTGGGCTGAGGAGTGGAAGGTGGGTATGGGTAGAAGTGTCAAGACGGATGGGTCGGTCAGACCCTGGAAAACCGGCCCAGATCGACCCGAACCCGCGGGCTTCGCGGTTGCACCTTCACGGACCGCGGTTAACCTGCTGGCCCGTGAATTTTTTTTTTTTAATTTGTAAAAAAGGGGGGGAGAGAACAAGATAAAATTATTGATAATGTTGCTGAAGATTTTAAATTTTTTGCAGTTCCTAAAGATTGATTGGAAAATAAATATTAAAATATATAATGTTTGAACAACTAAATTATAGTTAANTTTTGCTATAAATGTGAAAAATTCTATATTTTTATAATTTTATTTATACAATAATACGAGTCAAATCGGAACAAACCGCCACCCACGCGACCCGTGACCCGCATGGGCTCGACCCGGATGGGTCAGTGGGCGGGCCTGGATTGTAATCCAAAATTTGTGGGTCGGGCCCGAAACCCGTAACGGGCGGGCTTTTTTCACGCGGGTCGTTACCAGGCTCATATGTTGGCGAGCCGACTCAACCCGGACCACTCGGATTGACACTTCTAGGTGTGGGTAAAGAAGAGACATATGTCTTCTTTTATTTAGTTTTTAATTTTTTTAATTTAGGGTTTTTAATTGTTTATTGTGGTAAATAGAATGTTACTATTTTACCATTTTTAAAATTGATTAAAATATGGTCAAACTTAATTTTTATGGTCAATTGATAGTATTTTGGATGAAAATCTTTCCAAAGGGTCTCACATGCAACGGTTGGAAAGATAAAGAGTGACGACTACAACAAATAAAAAGTTTGGAGAATGTTTGCTAGTGTTTTAAAGGTTTGGAGTTTTTGTTACAATTATTCATAAAAGTAATGCACATGGTAAACGATTAATTTGAAATATAAATTTTGAAACGGATAGCCGCCCATGTGATGTGGCTAGATGCTAGCACTGCCCATTGCTACTTGGCTATTTGGTCATGTTCTATTAATTTAAGACTATTAATTTTGATCTTAAGTTGACTATTATATATATGATTTATTCTAATATATTTTAGTAAATAGTAATACTTTTTATCATCATGATAATGAAATATCGGTAATATGGCAATCAATTATCCCTCACATTTCCCTCTCTCCTTCCCCTCTCATTAAAAATTAAACCGTCAAATCTCATTATTCCACATAAACTGCCATATCAGCGATATTTTATTATTCTAATGATAAATAATATTATTATTTAGTAAATGGATAAAATAGTTAGTTGGTTCCTAAAGTTTACACCTCACACGAAAAAGGTTCCCAAAAACTTTAGAATGTACGGTTTTAGTATTAAAACTTAACAATGTGTACACTGTTAATCCCTTTCGTCTCTCTCTGTGACGAAATTTTACATGATTGTTAACCATGTCCACCTCAACGTCCATGTCAATTGAAACCATTATTTAAATTAAATAATTAAGAAATAAAAAATAAAAGAATTTAGAAAAATAGAAACAAGGAAAAGAAAAATATTCATCTTTCCTAGTTTAGAAACAGAGATAAAATGTGCAAGTCTTCATAATTTAAGGAGATTTAGAAATAAAATTTGGAACATAATGGTGGGGTTGCATCTTGCCTGAAAAGTGAGGGAATTTGGCTCAGCATTGAATTAGGAAAGCAAAAATTGGATTGTCTTTTTCATCTCTCTTTAGGGATAGTTTTCAAGTAAACATTTTGGGGATGCTACGTGTACACATATGACCCATGTGAGCAAATAATTCCTAACCCGCTCATCCTATTGATTTTATATGTAAAAAAGTCCTTTTGAGTGGTTTCAATCCTTTCTTACTATTAAAGTATATCTATTTTATTTTAATAAAAAGACACTTATATAATCTATCCATTTATACACTTAAAGGATGATTTGTACTAAATTTCTTAATTCCCATATTCCTTTCTAATCATAGGCAAGTGTGATTATTCGCTTACTTTTATTACCGTTGATATCATTTCATTCTAATTAAACTTTTAAAAAAAATTAATATTAAACTCAACAAAAATAACTTTACAAGACAAGGTGTCAAGATGACTATCTTTAAATTAACTTTATGAAAAATGATTCATCTATGCTCCATACTCGTACACTAGAAAAAAATGAGAAAATTGTATTCTTTAGTAGAATATTTTTTTTAAAATTTAAGATACAATAATCAAGTAAAGCTTTATTCTTATCACTTGAGCTAGATTTCGAACTTGTTATTATCTAACTTTTAGTGGTTCGATTCTTTATTCTTTTTTTTTTTTTTAATATTTTATACGAACTGAAATTAAAAGTTGATTCCACCTATTGATTTTGGATACTCTCATGTTATTTGTCTCAAGTTGTCAAAATTCATTTTGATTCTTCAATGTTAATAAAAATATTGCTACAAAATTGCGTATTTGAAACAAACAATTAAAATAAAAAGTAAAAATCGATAAATATGAAAGCAATTCCAATGAAATAAAATAGAAGAAATACAGAAAAATAGAACATACATTACCCTGTTTGAGCCCCATTTTTTGTTGAGAATATGTTGTGGAATAGTAGATTGATGGAAAATGTGTGGTTAACAAATAAGAAAAAAATTTGGATTCACGTATAATATTATTTTATTAAAAATGTGTAGTTGAAAAGAAGAAAAAAAAAGAATCAAACAAGGATATAATTAAATGGCATTATTTGGTTACAAACTATTTGATTTTATTAACAAAAATGAATTATTGGTGGCGATGTTGACAACCATCTTAAAGAAAAGATACCCTTCAAGGAAATATGTGAAGAAATTTTGAAGAAGTCATCAAGTGTACGAATGGATGGATGAATAATTAAGGAAAATCAATGGAAGGTTCATCTGTGATTTGAAAACCAAATTACCCTAAAATAGTCTAGTAATGCTACGAAAACTGGCTCAGTAACATATTTTTAAATAGACAGGCACTCGAGGAATTCTCATTCAAAATTAAAAAAATAATAATACAACACACTGCCAATCGGACTGACATTGGAACAGCCCTGTTCGATTGGCTTAAACCAAAAAAGTCAGACTTCCTCATACTCTTTGTCTTTCCCTTGAATATCACGATACCTCCGCCCTCTTTCCCCTCTCTCTCTCTCTCTATGTTTCTTCATATATATTCATACTACCCCCTCAGTCTCACCATCATTCCTCCGCCGTCTACGTCGCCCACAGCCCGCCCTCACACTCTCAACTACCCACCGCCACCCGCCCCGTGAAAACAGAAAAAAAAAAAAAAAACGAATATAAAGTTTATGCTAAATCTTTGTTGATCCAATGAAAAGATTTTTTCAAGATGGTGTTGTTATTTTTCTCTCCCTTTTCGTCCTCTTGTTATTTTCTGAAATCTCCATGGTTGGAGCTCAATCTAATCCACCCGGTGTCAACAACAACGGGTACCAATATGCAAAGTTCAGTCCTTCCATGGCAATTATCATAGTAGTTCTCATAGCAGCACTTTTCTTCATGGGCTTCTTCTCCATCTACATTCGTCACTGCTCCGACAATTCCGGTGCTGCCGGCAGCGTCCGTCGAGCCCTCTCTATGAGATCCCGCCGTGCAGCCGCAGCGCGTGGACTCGACGCTTCCGTCTTAGAAACCTTTCCTACTTTCTCATACACAGAAGTGAAGGATCATAAGATTGGGAAAGGAGCCTTGGAGTGTGCTGTGTGTTTAAATGAATTTGAAGATGATGAAACGATTCGTTTGATACCCAAGTGTGATCATGTATTCCATCCTGAGTGCATCGATGCCTGGCTCGAGTCTCACGTCACTTGCCCGGTTTGTAGAGCTAATTTGGTTCCGGTTTCGACCGATGGGCCCATACAGGAACCGGAGTCGATTAACACGAATGAAGAGAACTACGAGAATGTGGAAAGAACCAACAGTTCAAGAAATGAGCAAGTTGTTATACAAGTTGAAATCTGCGATGAAAATCAGCCTCAACGGCAAGTGGGGATTTCTAAACCGGGGATGATGAAACGGAACTCAAGTTTTCAATACCCGAACCGGCCACAGAGGTCATGGTCCGTACCAAGGCCCAAAATGTTTGGACTAGGTAAGTTTAGGTCACACTCTACTGGTCACTCCTTGTCCTTGGTTCTACCGGGGGAAAATCTTGACCGCTTCACTTTGAAATTACCTGAACAAGTTAGGAAAGAGGTTATGGACCGTGCTATGTTGAATAGGACTAAAAGTTGTGCAACAACTTTATCTCGAGAAGGCAGTTCAAGAAGGGGACCAAAGGTTTTTAGAAGGATCGAAAGGTCAGAGTTAGAAGTGAAATCCGATCGATGGAATTTTAACCGTGCATCATCTTTTTTCTCGAGAGCATTGTCGATGAGATCACCAAGGGTGGTAGCTGAGAACGGTGAAGGATCCACCTCTAGGGGTAGTAGAATGCCAATAAAAATGCCGTCCTTCAAGTGTTTGGAGCCCGAGGCTCTTGATGAAATTCATCTAGTATCAGATGACTCGGTTCGGCATCCGGTTTAACTGAACCACCGGTCTGACTTTCCGGTTGTACCTAAGAATCAATTTTAGCGGAAGAGGTTGCTTTCCTCGCAACTGCAAAGTCTAGGAAGCTGGGACCCATAGTGGGGGTAAAACAGTGGTTGCACAAATTTGAGTTGAATATTCAACGCAAAGAAATAAATTATTGTAAAATCTTTTTGTATGCCAATTTTTATTTTCCCGTTTCTTCATATATTTCATTTAGGGGTTTTTGTAGAGAAATTAAAGTTGATGAAAAAGCGTATTTCAAAAGTATATGAAATTTGTGAATTCCATTTAAGTGTGAACTTCGACTAATTGAAAAGTTGATGAAATTTTAACAAGGAAACACTTGAATGTGCATTGTAAATGCTTGTTGTCCAATAGATAACAGAAGCTGTTATGAACTTCCCATGTGAAAAACAATTCATGAACAGAGACAATTCATTTGTTTTGCAAATTATCCTAATCGATCAACGAATGCGATTTGTCTTTTCCTCTTTTTGAAGACTAAACACTTGAAATGGTTTCATTTGCATTTTAATTAGATCATTAATTTAGTTATGTTTAAGAGAGAATTCACATAATGTCTTGTGTGCATGTTTTTTTTAAAGCAATATAATGATAATGTTGAACCGTTTTGTATCTTGAAAATTGTCTCTACTCGTATTTATACAAACGCATTCTTTATAATTTATATGTTGAAGTGCCAAAAGTGATATTTTGTATATGTTTAAATTTAAATTCTAGTATTCAAGTAACTATAGAAGTCTTTATAATCAACACTCGTAAGAATTGTCATGTTAATTTTCACAAGCATGTTCCTTCAAAGATATCTATTACTTGTAGTATATCAAAAAGCTACACGTAGATAGAAATACTAGAAGAAAAAAAAGCCAAATCTAAAAATATAGCACAATATGAAAAATTCACATCTTTTGTTATTTTTTCATTAAAAAATCACCTACCGTCTCTATTTTATAAATACTATTAACATCGTTTTTGTAGTGGTGACGTGGCTAATAGATTTCGGGTCGTCTCGCGTTCACTTAAGTTTTTAATCCTGCACACTTAAACAAATCGTAAATCACATGTGACTTTCTCCGAAATGAGGGAAGGCGGTCGCATGCACTCCGACGATCAAGTGAATCAATGTATAAGTGAAGGGGTATGGGACATACTAAAGACGTGAGCCACTAAGTATAAAGGGGACAGCTCTGAGAGGGTATGAAGCGAATATAATGAGAGCAAACTTATAATTTTGAGAGTTTAAAGTTGCATTATTTTCAAATGACATAATATGTGAGCTTTTATAGTAGTATAAGAGAAATGATAACCGTCGGATGAAGTGACACGTGACTTCATCTTGACAGTTGAGGTCTTTTTCGTAGGAATCACTCCATCATTCCTAGGCTAGTTGGCATTAAATGCTTTTGACGAGCAGTTACTCTAAAACCTAGTCCGATCTCTAAAATATAGATCGTCGATTTGACCTTTTAAGTGCCTACAACAAAGATGTCACATCAATCAATCGTAGGTAGTTCTTGTACGGAAGATCTATGTAGAAGAAGTGATATAATAATATGATGATTTATGTGAATTGGGAGATTGATCGTTTTGAACTATTCCCTGCAACAAACATGAAAGCTCACCTCAACCTTGGAGGGTAGACCCACCAAGGTACCTCAGATGAGGTGGTGCACGTCCTTGGCTATGATCCCACTTCGGCCATGCAGGATGTTTATGTGGAGTGTGGGCTTATTAGTTGTCGCTGGCTGCCACATGTTCAATGACCTAGAGCCTCATTCAAAAGAGGCGTAACAAATATGATACAGGTATCATGAACCTTTTCTACTATATACTACTATTCACTTGGAACTGCGTATGATTTGGTTTTAGTATACATCCCAATATTCTAAAAATCAGATGATCTCAATTTGAGAATTAATTGTTATAATTATTCGAAGCAATCATGCTAAGAACAAGAATCACATAATTAATTGATAGTTCGAAATTCTTAAATGCGGAAGACATTGTTTTGTATGAATATTATCAGCTAGATCTTCCTCTCCTTGTTCCTCAAAAATAAACGGCCGTCGATTGGGAAGCCAAAGCGATATAGAGAGGAAAGGAGACCTAACCATTAGATAAGAAATTATAAAGGAGACCCATTACCGACTCAAACTCTAATTAGGGTTTATATAATTTCGATCCACATACTTAAAATTACCACATTATAAATAATAAAGCATGTAAGGTATACAACAGCACAAGTGATCACTGACATATTGAGTCTAATCATAGTATTATTGCAAACCATACATTTAGAAGGAGGGCCCTTTGAAAAACAGCCCACAAGCTATAAAATTTCTATAAAAACTCGCATATACCAATCACCTCCTTTACCCCCCACTTTCGTATGAAACAATCAAGTTTCAAACGATAAGTTTAAAAAATCCAAACAGTTGGGCAATTGCTTTTTAAAATGAAAGTAGTAACATATACCAATCACCTCCTTTACCCCACTAGTCGATGGACCCTTTGATAGTTTGGGTTACTACCTTCTGGGTTGGCACCTTCATACGAAACAACAAAGTTTGAAATTATAAGGATAAGAACTCCAAATAGTGCGACAAATACTTTTTTAAATTAAAGTGGTAACACATACAAATCCCTTTGTTTACCCCACTAGCCAATGGATCCTCCAGTAGTCCGGACAAGCACTTTTTGAGTTGGTATTTCCTTCATCTAGAACGACAGTTTATCTCTATAGATGGTTCCACAACCGTGACGTTTACATTTCATAAATTAGTAATGGTGCTCAGATGGTGATATGCTGTACATTTTAACCCCTAAAACCAAACGTAGAGGAGAAGCTTGACAAAATTTGGCTTACAAAACCAACTGTCGAGAACGAAAGTTCACCTCGACATATGATTTCATTTCTGTTAGGATTGACATTTACATTTCACATTCATATTGCTTTTCCAAGACATGAAGGGTCAGGTTATGACAAACATGATGAGTGTCATACTCATAACTTCAAATAGAACCACTTTTCTTGTACTCAGCCATAAGTTGTACATGTAAATGCAAATACGTTTCCAAAAACGAAATAGAATGATCCAACACTTAAACAATATGCAAATATCCCTACATAATCATATAAAAGCATACATGCATGCTACAAAATGAAAAGTACCCATGCTTATTTGTGTATAGTTGACCAGAACATGCCCCAGTTCAATATTGGCTCATTTCACAAACTCAAAAATTAAACCTATTTGCCCAGTAATGACCAAGAACCATCCAGACATTAAAGCTTAGTTGAACACAATAATGGGTCGATTAAAAATCAAGACCCACACAAACATAGTATTAGTCGAACACAACGATGGACAATTCAAATGTTACTTTTAAATGTAAATTGAGCAAATGAAACAAAAATAAAAAAATTGAAGAAAGTATGATCAGCAACTCGATGCAAATGGAACGCTTGAAATAGAATGGTTATCAATATCTCCGGATGATGACCGCAACTCAAAATTCAAAGTATCGAGTCAATAATTGATCCCCTGAACATTATTTATATGAAAAAAAAAAGAGTGAAAAACATAGTTATAAGAAATAAATTCATAGATAATTTACATAAACCTTAATGTTAGCATTTTCGTAGAACTAGAAAAATAGACAACAAAAATCTAAAAAATGAGGAATATTGTACCGATCTAGGACAAAAAATGTGAAAAATAAAAAGACAAACACCCCTAATGTGAAGAATTAGAAGAGAAGAGAAGAGAGCAAAAAATGCAAAAGCAAACCTCAAGAGATTAATGGTGGTCTTCGTCGGCAGTAGACTGATTAACGGTGGTCGTCGACAGCATGGGCTTTTGACGATTCGAATTAGAGAAAGGGGAGTGAGTTTAGGCTTAGTGAGTGTTTGAATGATAGATTCGAAAAGCAAACACTTTTCATTTTTTTATTAAATTTGTAAGTTGAGTTATTTGGATATGACATTTTTTCAATTTTTTGTACAATTTTTCATGTAGTCAAATCTCATTTAATGAAGGACATTGTAGGGTATTTAAATTCGCTCGAGGGGCAAAAATGTCCAAAAATAACAATCTTGCAAATACTTTAAAAAAGTAACATTTTTGAAAATACAAAGTCAAAAATTGACATGTAGTGCAATTTCCTCTTTCGTTCCTTTTTTTTTTACTTGGTTCCACTTCTTCCACCCACAATTCACTTTAATTTCCACAGCAATAAACATTTGAACTTTATTCCATTTTGGTTTCGGTACCTGCAATACCACACACATATACCAATTGGAATCTTATTCTGATTGAATATATTACTTGATGCAAATTTAAAGGTGAACCAAAAGCTTAATTAAGTTTGAATTGCTTATCTTATGCACTTATTGCACACACATATACATATACTGGTGGTGGGGCGGGTAGGGTAATCCGTAAGAAGATTATTTCTTTTTGTTTTTCTGTATTTTTCCCTTTTATTTTCTTTATTTGTTATTAAACAAACTAAGGGTAAAATGAAAATATGATTTAACACAGTGATGCAGACTTTTGAAACGTTTGATACTCCAGACACCATAAATTAAAGGTCTTTTCACCATTTTCAAATATTCAGGACCCCACGTAAAATTTACCTGAGGTTTTATGGGCTCACGCCTTATTTCCCAACTTATTTTCGTTTCGTTGTATCTTTATGATCAACATTATTATTGACAATGAATTTCATCCAAAATATTTTTTAATGTACTTTAAAATGTGGTATAAATATTTAATCTTACTTTTATGATCAACATTATATTCCTTTTGGTCCTCATTAGTGAAATTTAGGTCAACACTAAGAAAATGTAATCTGATGCGGATTGTCTAAGAGATTCTTGCTTATCTAAATATTGTCATTGTCAAGCCTAGATCGACAAGTCATGATGAGCTAATGTATCTATTCAATTATTTTAAAAAATAAATAAAGCT